CGGGGTTTCACCATGTTGACCAGGATGGTCTCGATCTCTTGACCTCGTGATCCACCCGCCTCAGCCTCCCAAAGTGCTGGGATTACAGGCTTGAGCCACCGCGCCCAGCCAATATACACATTTTTTAAATAAAAATTAAATCATGAGTAATTTTATTTGCTTTTATTAAATTTTATTTTTATCACATAGATGTGTGTCATTAAAAAAGTACAGCTGGCATGGTGGCTCATGCCTGTAATCCCAGCATTTTGGGAGGCTGAAGTGAGAGGACTGCTTGAGACCAGTAGTTTAAGACCAGCCAGGTCAACATAGCAAGACCCTGTCTCCACAAAAGAGTAAAATTATTAGCTGGGTGGGTGCATGCCTGTCATCCCATCTGCTCAGGAATCTGAGGCAGGAGGACTGTTTAAGCCTAGGAGTTTAAGGCTGCAGTGAGTTACAATCAAGCAACTGTGCTTCAGCCTGAGAAACATGGTGAGACCCAATCTCTTAAAAAAAAAAAAGTGGGGGGGTATGTATAAGTACCATAAGGTTTATAATAAAATAATAGTCCCTAGCTCCACCTCCAGGTCCTGTTCTCTACTAGGATTTCTTTTTAACTTCTTTAGTAGTTTCTTCCGGCATTTAACTCAATATTTCAAATAACATGCTTATACTGCTATTTCTTCATTTTAAATTTTAGACATTTAGCAAATGACTTCCTACTATGGCAGATGAGGATTTGACCTCTCTTACACTTCCCTCCCCACTTTGATCCCTTCTCAAATCTCTTCCTCCCCACCACCCTGCTTATCTGGTTATAATTTCTGGTGAATTACTTAGGGTTGACTTTATTACAACAATGGAAATGTTATTAGTCACAGCTGAGCCACAGAGTGTATTACTGGTATTTTCACTTACACTTTTTGCTTTGCCTCATATTTTTCTTTACTTTTTAAGTTCCTATTACTAATTCAACCTTACATGTGTTACCAAGTTTACGAAGTACCTTTCAATCCAGTCAAACCCATCAATTCTACTTTTTTTTTTTTTTTTTCTCCTAGAGACCTTCCTCCTTAAGCCCCCTGTCCTCCTGCCAATCTGGATGACTGCCTGTCAAGCCCTGATGCACAGCTGTCAGTCAGCCTGTACCTTCCCACCAATACCCTGTTTGATCTTGGTCTATGTACTATAACAAAGTCCCAGTATTTCACAGGATCCTGTTGCCTGAATCCTCCAGGAAAAAAAGCAACCTACATTACAGAAAAATGAACCACATGCTGCCACAGAATAATTTCTTCTTTCCTGTGTCATCTTCTTTCTTATTTCCTAATTTTGATTGACCACACCTCCTTTCAGCTTTATACAAAAGGGTAGAGGGGCAGTAAATTTCATGAGATCCTGCCTGTCTGAAAATTTCTCTAGTCTTCTCTTACACATTATTGATATTGTGACTATGTTTAATGTTCAAAATAATTTTCTCCCAGAATTTTGAAGGGAGCAACACTAAAGTGAAGTGAACCAACACTAAAATGATCACCTGCCAAGCTGGGAGAGGACAGTCGCATGGGTGATCATTTTAGTGTTGCTACGGGACATCATTCTGGTTCCCAGTGCTTTATATATAACTTATTTTTTCTCTGGAAACATTTGGGATTCATGATAATATGCTTTGTTTTGGGTCCCTCCTACTTTATTACACTGGGTACTTAGTAAGCTCTTTCCATTAGGAAGCTCGTGTTTTTCAGTTCTGGGAATTTTCTTTTACTATTTATTTGATAATTTTCTCTCCTTATCATTCACTGCCTATTGTGTCTTTGCTTCATGGTTTGCTCTTCAGGAGGGTTTCTTTATCTTCCAACTTTTCTACAGAATTTGTTTGTTTCTGCTATTTACGCATTTTTTAATTCCCAAGAGCTCTTCGTGTTTTTCAAATCTTCCTTATTACAGCATTCTGTTCCTATATTATGAATGCAATAGCTTCTTTTATTTATCTGAGGATGTTGAGGAGTTTTTGAGAGAACTGATGGTACTTTCCTTGAGTACCATTTTTTTTTTTTTTTTTTGCACTTTTACGTTAGTGGCCTTTATGAAATGTCTAGCAATCCTTTACTGGCAGCTTGGCATACTTGGAGCTCTCTGTACGTGGGCAGAGTTTGTCAGCAAGTGGGGCACACAGAAGGCAATCAGATGGGCTTGCAGCTCTTTCATTAAAGGACTCACAAGGGTTAGTATTTACAGGTCTGATCTTTTGTGCTGGTGAGTTTCCCCAGGAATAAATTATCTATTTTTTTTTTTGCCTGGGGGTAAAAGGCTGTGGGCCAGCATTATACAAAGAAGAGAAAGTGGGATAGGGTTCTCATTATTCAGTATGTAGATTCTTACTTAGTCTTTCTACTTTTCATATAGTGCTTTAGCCACATCCTCACATGTATAGCTGTTTCTGAATCTAGAACCTCTCTGATTTAGGCTCTCCAGAGGTTATTCTTGTCCTCTGCCAGGGTGGGAGAGGGCAGTCACATGGGTGATAAAACTGGAGAAAGATTTTGGGGATCTAATTGCTCCTTACCTAAATTTATAACCAATCTTTTTCATTGCAGCTTTCAGATGTACTTGATGCCTTTAATTCCTCTTTCTGGGTTTCTGAATCTTGCTTCTGATAGGCAGTTACATTTCAGCTTTTTTCATTCTGCTCATTCAGTTAACAACTCTCCATCTGATTCCTATCTTCCTAATATTGTCAAATCTCTCACCCTGCTGCCTTCTTTGCTCCCTTTCTGTCTTTGTGGTTTTATAGCATTTTTATTCTCTTACTGTCATTTTAGTAGTTTCAGGAAGGAAAAAGATAGGTTTCTTAATCTACCATGTTTAATAGGAAATTCATACTCTTTTCTAGGTTGTTCTTTTCATCAGATGTGTAATGAACATCTTTCCACAGCAATAGAAATGCTATGTTATTTTAATGGCTGCTCTTCCATTTTGTGACTATATAATAATTTATGTGATCAATACCTTTTTGAAAGGCCTTTATGTCATTCTGTTTATTTTTGTTATTAAAAACTCTAGGGTGATGAGGATACTTGCAGCTAAATCTTTTACATCTGTCCTTAATTACATCTTTAAGTTCATCAGAGTCCTAGATATGGAAGTAGCCAATGGTATACACATTTCTAAGGCTTTCTGATACTCATCTGAGCAACTTAATATTCAGAATAAGTAATGTGCTTGTCAGGTTAACACAAACCTACACACACAAAGACAAACACCACTAAATTTTACTCGATCTGGTAAAGCTTTAGTTGGAGAGAAGTTTGAAACTGGTAGCCAAATCAGGTTCTTTACATCTACTAATTTCATTAATGCCTGTCATTTAAATCCCTTGTCATAATACTTCGGAGAATAATGAATTGACTATATAAAATAATTAACCTAAGAAATAAAAACAGGCAATTAATTTGTTTAAATATGCACATATGTGCATATAGAAGACAGACACACACACACACACACACACACATACACACACACACACATTTTAATACTAACCTACTTATAACCATAGCTGTTATGACAGGCTCCCAGCCTGAGTGAAGAACAGTTCTTGTGGCTGGATGTTTGGCAGCTATTATAATCCAAATAGGAGTTAGAGCCAAGAAAAAGACACCAACTAATGGAGAAATGTAGTAATAGGTCTCTAAAATTAAAAAAAAAAAAAAGAGAGAGACAACATTTCAATCTCTCTTCTATGTAGCAGATCTAAATTATCAACATTTACTAGAAGGTATGACACAAACATATTAACACACTATGCATTTTTGATAAACTTCAAACAAATTTATAACTGTAGATAAGGTAAAAATATTAAACAATGTAACTGAAAATAACACATTAATTCAACAAACATTTATTAAAATAGTTACGGAAACTACATGGAAAGAGCAATAATAATACAACAATAAGAACAACAGTAAGGCCGGGCGCGGTGGCTCAAGCCTGTAATCCCAGCACTTTGGGAGGCCGAGGCGGGTGGATCACGAGGTCAACAGATCGAGACCATCCTGGTCAACATGGTGAAACCCCGTCTCTACTAAAACTATAAAAAAAAA